AAACTGGTGACTATCTAAAATCTGATTGGCTGGTGAATGCAATAGCCAATCAGATTTTAGATAGTCACCAGTTTTACTAGTGTAATTTAGTTTCACCAACAAGTCTAGTTAGGATAGATAGCACACCTACAAAAGTTGTTTCTCTTTGTAATTTTTACCAAAAATTCATTATTGTAGTTTGGGTTAGGTTAAGGTTAGGATTAGAAAGAAAGTTTCTACTAGTAAAATTCTACAAGAAGTATTTTAATTGGATGGTTTCTTAATTTAAATTTTGAGTTATTTCTGTTTTTTTTTGTAAAAAATAGCTATTATTAATTTTAATTAAGAAAATTTTTTTATTAAAAAAAATTAGATTTAAATGTTTAATAATATTCAAAAAAAATATAACTTAACAGTATCATAGTATTAGTATAAAGAAAAAATTTTGATTGGCCAGCACATGATTAGCAAACTTTTTTATAATAATATCTTGATTTTGTCTAAAAATTAATGTTTGTATAGTAGAAAGAATATATGAGTAACGAAAAGGGAAAACCTGTAAATCATTATAATGATTTACAGGTTTTCCCTTTTCGTTACTCATATCTAAATTTTTGTGCTGAAAACTTTTACATAATAACAAGACCAATTTCCCTTGCGAATTTATAAGTTTTGTTGCGATTTCTTCGCATTCGTATGTTACTGATCTTACAATCAGATTGAATAAAAATTACGGGTCGCCAAATTTTTGCGCCATCACTATCTCATTCGATCGACAAATCATACTAAAGTCTTGTTTTTCCTTTTGGCGTCACTTGTCTATCATACGTATTGATCTTGATTATTATTATTATTATTATTATTATTAATTGTCACGGATTATCATGAAATCGGATTATCGTGAAATTTAGATTTATTTTATATACGATTTTTAAATTTTTTTGGGGCCTTTTTTGTAAGCTTTTTTTTTATAGTTAAGTTAGGGTTTAGAGTTAGAATTATTAATAAAAGTGTATAGGTGGATTTTGGTAGGGCTTGTATTTTCAAATTAAGACCCCAAATTTCACGATGATCTGATTTCACGATAATCCGCGACATTAATTAGTTAACCGGTTAAACAATTAAGAACTTACTCAACTGGCTAACCGAGTTTTGTTCGATTACCCGATTAGAGCCAATTGGTTCGAATCACTAATAGTAAGTGTACACAATTATTGTTAATTAAGTGTACGTTAATGGTTAAGCAAATTGGAAATTTTTGTAACCGTATAACAGACTTCAAAAAATTGTTTAATGTACGACAAAGGTTTATTGTATATTAGCAGCTGTTAAAGCTTGAATGAGATCCAAGTTTCATTGTTCTCTTACAGATAAAATGTAACAGTAACATTAATGTTTTTGTTGTACATGTATTGAATTGTTTGCAGCATTTTTAGCAGTTTGGTGTCTCGTTGAAATAAGATGGCCGTCAAATATAGATTTTTTTTTTTCATAATTCAAATATGCGACAAGCACGGCATATTAACAAGCCTTTCAATATAAATTCTTGTCTATATTCTGGTACCTTCTATCCTATCGTTTGCAACAAGTGATTAAAGAAAAAAAAAAACAAGTTGCCCAATATTTCTTTTTTATTTGAATTTTAATAATAAGGAGAATTTTTGTGTTAATAACAGAAAAAACGATTAACATCCAATTTTACAGTACAATAACTGACTTATCAACCAATCATTTATTCTAAAAATTCAGCGGATTCTGCTCAGGTAGATTTTGCTTTTCTGTTTGAGCAGGCAAAACTGTGCCAAAACAGAATTCTGCGCAGATTCTGCCACCTCAATCCTCTGGACACTACCGGGGTGTTGTAAAATGTACTTGTATATTTAATTTATACCCGGGTAGTATATTGTACATAGGTGATACTATTGTTAACTGTTAATAGTTAATTTTTGTGTAATTATTATGGTACGTACGTATGTACGTACCCGGATCTTTTTACACCGAAATGACTAAAATAGGAAGTAAGGTATTTGCTAAACAAAATACGTTAGTGATATCGATAAAATGCATTATCACTGTAGCACATTACGTAATTTCTAATTACCGAAATCTATTAACGCTAATGTCCCAAAATTAATGAAGAAATCTGTAATGCACATTCCGTAGTAGAAACACACTGCTACATAAAGTCCACCATAACATATGTTATAGGTAAATTGATCCTGCCTCGGATGCCGACAAGCAAATAGCCTAATGCATATATATGCAATAATGACTATTATAAATTTTTCGATAAACTTAAATAGTAATGAAGAAGAACTTTCGCAAGTTTCATAAGCTCGTAGAAGACACCACTTCAAATTGGAATGATACAATAAACACCTCGCACTGCTGCCTATGAGAATTGCTGAAAATAGTAACAAAGGAGCGGTTAACGACCTGCAGATAACATCACCGATAAGAAGGGGAAGCGTTTTGCGACCGACAAGCATATCACCATCTTGATCGCCTAAGTCTTGAATATGAATGGTACTAAGAAAGAGGAAAAAAAATAGCCAGATTAAACATAGATGGTTCTTGACCCCACCACTCATCTACGTTTAAATCAGTACCAATAATGAGATGGTAGGCAGTGACAAGTTGAATCCATGAGCCGAAAGCTGTATACAAATTTTTTGATAAAGCATTTGCGTGTACGTTGAATTTCATGTATAAAGTAACCCATCCCAACCAAAGAAGAGCACCAAATAACGAGGGAAAGCTACCAACGAAAAATCCTACAATCGGGTGGATGATACTGATTGCAATTGTGCGGAGCCTAGCACCTTGTATTGTGATGAGGCCAGAGGGAATAGGGCGGTGGGGTTTATTGATTAAGTCTTCTTCTTTATTATTTAGTTGATTATGCCTGTGTTGGTTGAAAGTATAATTTAATTACATTTTATTTTCTGCTATATTCTGCTAGTTATGAAATTGTTTTTAGTAATTGTGTAAATACCAATCGGTAACCATAACAAATGTTGAAAAATATAAAATGATCTTTGATAAGCGCGGAAATCCGATATGTTTCATAGCCTCGATGGGTGAAGTATTATCGATCGGGGTTTCAATTGAATTAAAGAAACGTGCATAAAATGCACCTGAGATATAAAGCAAATAATTTTAGTTACCTAAAATTTTTTAAGCATCTTTACACCTTTCTTTCTCTTACCGATTAACATAAATGATGTGGGTATTATAGTCGTCGTCCAATCAGAGATGGACACACGATATATTACTAGAACTTCGTGAAGTATAGCATTCTTGATATCGGTAAACAATTGCGAAATGATTTGAGAATATTTTAAATATAAGGCTTTAATGTTGATTTTACGCATTTTGAAATTTTTTGTTGAAATGATTTATTCGAAGAATTTCTGTATACTTACGGATTTGAGAAGCTTTTATATAAGATTTCTTATTCATGTATAATAACTTGTTTTGATTTTGTGAAAGGCGATAAGTCACAAACAATTAAAGATGTGCAAATGTAAATTTTTGAGTCTTGTTGCATTATATATTATATGAGTGACAAGAAGAGAAAACCTGTAAATAATCTCACTCATCATCGCAGTGAATTCTACCCCTGAGGACTCCTCAGGGGTAGAATTCACTGTTTCTTCCCGCCACTCATATATACCGATATATAATAAATAATATATAATAAATTTATAAATAGAATTTAAAATTTTAAATTACGTATTATATTAATTAATTTGATAAAATATATATGTATATATTTATATGAGAAAGGCAATTGATTATTTTACGTAATAAAAATTTTGAAAAAAACATTTACTAGTTCTATTACGTACCGTAGATGTGCGTATACAAGACCCGGGTATCAAAGAAAACATATACGTATAGGGGATCTTGCAACATACATTAATAATTATATTTTTAACATTATTTGCATAATAAAATCAGTTTTGTGGCATAAACATTATCGTTTTTTTATTTTTTTATTGAGGTATTAGATCCATCATTGAATGATGGGCTATATCTGATATACAGTAAACAAAAAAAACATTGATCGTCATTTCATATCACGGATATGATAAAAAATGAGAAGTATCAACTTATTTTGAAAATAAGTGGGAATTTAAGAATTCTATTTCTATTTTATAATTCCGAATCAGAAAATTAAATAGGCGCATTTGGTGATAAAGTCAGCTTTTTTTTCAAAAAAAAATATTATACCTCGATCACTATATCAAGATCACGGGTTTATTATTACTGATTAATTTTATATAGTACGTATGAACTGTCATTTTAATTGCTAAGAGGTTCTTGGACGCCTCGATCAATGAGTCAAAATGTGTAATATGTCAGGAATTAAATTTTATTAACAGATGGTTTTTTTTTAATTGTTAAAACGTAGATAAACGTAGTGTAAAACACTTGGTTTATTACGTTAAAGAAAATTTTTAAATTTATCATTCCAGTCAACAAATTTTGCCTGGATTTTTTTTGCATTGGCTCATTAAACTTTACAACGATTAAAATGGATAGTTATTGTTCAAGCATTTTCGTATTTTTATTATGATATTCTTATGTTTTTTATGTTTTGCAAAATTTTCGACAACTTTCAGTAAACCACATGGGTTGTTGTCAATAGAAATCAAGCAAATTGACATTTTTGAAAAAAATTAATCCTTTTACTTTCATAACCTATATTTCGATGAATTTTGAGGCTATCTCTAATTAATAAGCTTAAGATCTAGACTTTCTTTTGAATGTTAACTCATCAATATAGCCTCAAAATTCATCAGATATGAGTTGTGAAATTTAAGGTACTGATTTTTCTTAAAATTAGGGTTGTTAATGGAGTACTCCAAACACTAATAAAACATATAACCCACTTCTGGAGTACTCCGGAGTGGGTTATATGTTTTACTATTGACTGGAGTGCTCCATTAACAACCTTACTTAAAATGTCAATCCGCTTGATTTCTATTGACGGCAGCCCACATCTTGGTGATTCGTGATTCTTTTACCAGGAACTCCATACAGTACTTACTGCCCTTAAACTCTTTACATATAAGAAAGTGGTTCAGGGTATGGCACGGAATGTCATTAAAAATGCACGAAATAGCGTGACATATCAGGTTTTATGAGATGGTATGATTAAAATAATAATGACATTATCGTATGGCAAGGGTGGCACGTTATGTACGTCATACAGAATACACATATCGAATGACACGTATATGCATATTGTAAGAAAGTAAGTAAGTACGTACGTACGTACATGATGGCATACCTTTATTTTATTATATGGGTTATAAAATAACTAAATTTGCACGGCATGGCCTTCGGCCATGTAACCCCGTGCAAATTTAGTTATTTTTTACAACCCATACATTTCCGTAATGCTATGGGAATATACAGTATATTGTGCTTTAGAATGTTTCAACAAAATCCTTATGTAAAATTCTTATATATTTAAAAAAACAGCAGTTGTTATCGGAATATTGCTTTTAAAAGAAGCCAAGGGTTATTGTCTTCGGATCTCTAAATCTGATGGCTAACATTTCTAATCGAATGAGCTTGTTCAGATCAGCCTGGGCTAGTTTGCAATATCAGATATGCAACCTTATGTAAATATTACATACCAGCAATTTTTTTACGTAAACAAATTGCATGCAATTGAAGGAAAGAAAATTATAGTAATCTACAACTATATTTTTTAATGGTGTCAAACGAACTTACTCGTTTAATTATAAACATGGTCCTCAATAATCAATATCCAATTAGAATTATGTGAAAAAGGAACTTTAATTAATACTTTAATTAGACATTAAATTCACGGATATTTGCAAACCCAATTCTGGTTAGATTTGTAAAACCCGGATCTAGTTTTGGACTAATCCCAAACTCGACCTAACCCAATTATTAATGATAACCTTCCAGTAAAATCATGAGAGGTCCAAATCAAGGGGTATCTCGCATTGCGTTTTATCGTTATGGTAAATTTCACTTCAACATATACCATGAAATTTCGCTGTAATCGAATTTTAACTATTGACAAAATTAAAGTTTATATCGATATGTCGTACCAATAACTGCCGTTTCAGGCACCTGAAGTACTTAATGTAGTAATGCTTACGTGTGTACGTACGTACGTACGTAAGGATTGGAATCGGTTTAGTCGACTAAAATATTTTTATAGCAAGCTACTATGTTTAGTCGACTAATTAGTCGACTAAACATAATAGTCGACTAAACCCCTATATGTACCTAATTTCAGAGACCTTATTTCTCGTTAGGCAAAAATGCTCTAACAAATACTACAAATCAATTTTTTTATATAATTACCCCTAAATGCACACCCTATGAAAAACCTTTCTAAATATATACGTATCATTGGGCCCAATTAACATAACGCTTATAGATTTTACCTATCGCAATTCATTTATACGTAGAGATATGACAAATTTATTTTTAATAACTTCTGCAATGTAATTTATGTAACATTATAAGTCCATAACACATTCTACGTATGCACTTATTAATTAGTCTACTTAATGATGCCGATTAAACTATGAATAATTACTAAATTTTGAAATACTGAAAATTAACTACGAATAATTACTAAATTTTGAAATACTGAAATTAACTACGTATGATAATTACTAAAAATACCAAAATATTATATATATATATATAGTAATATATATATATATATGTAGTATATATATAAAGCAATGCGTTATTCATGTGATTTTTATTAAAATTACACCCACCGGATACTTTGTCTAATGCAGTAAAAGGAACCCTAACTCAGAGAAGTGATTGTCGGAAATCTCAAAACTGGTGACACAACATTTATGTAAATATAATTCGTATATATATGGTTTTGAACGAAGTTATTTTTCGATTCAATAAACAATGATCTCAAAATTCCTTTTCCAATTAATCATATTATTGTTTTACATAAGTTCAAATGTAAATGCACTTTGGCCTCTTCCTCAATATTGGGTAAAAGGTTCAAAAACCCTTTCAATCTCGCCACACTTTTCTCTAAAACAAACTTCTGAAACTGATTCTATACTCAATGCTAAAACCAAAGAAATTCTCGAATCAGCTAAAAATCGTCTATTAAATTTCTTAACATCAGAAAAATATGTTTCGCCAAATGTTAAATCTATCGTTCCAAAAACCATAGATGAATCAAACACGTTAGGATGTCTAACTATTTCAATTACTACAAATGCTTCAGAATTAGATTTAGGAATTGATGAATCATATGAACTTATAATTCCTGAATCACAAAATGATGATGATCCATTAACGGCTTCTCTTAAAGCCGAAACCGTATTTGGTGTCCTTCATGGTTTAAACACATTTTCTCAACTTCTATATTATAATAACTCTAAATTATTGTTGCCTTTTGTGCCACATAACATAAAAGATTTTCCTCGATTTTCACATCGAGGTTTGTTATTGGACACTGCAAGGAATTATTTTCCTGTAAAAGATATTTTGACGACGTTGGATATAATGAGCTGGAATAAGTTTAATGTATTTCATTGGCATATTGTCGATGCTACTAGTTGGCCTGTAGTTAGCGAAGTATATCCAGATTTGAGTAATAAAGGAGCTTATGATCCAGAATATATGGTTTATACTAAAAAAGATATCAAGAAGGTTATCGATTATGCAAAGCTTGTATGTTATTACTTACTACATTAAACGAAGTAATAGTGTTTATAAAATTGAATATTAGTATCTAATTTTATTACTTTATTGAATTAAGAGAGGAATTAGGATTATTCCGGAATTTGATATGCCAGGTCATACACATTCCGTCGCAGAAAGCATGCCGGAAATGTACGATATTTGATTAATACGCATGTTTCTTATCATTTATTTAAGCAATTAATTAACATTTAATATTTCTAAACAGCATGTCATGTATAAATAAACAACCAATTTGGACTAATGTAATGATACTTTATGTCTTTTTAATTAGTACATATATTTAACTGACTCAATCTAGATATATCCTAACAATTTTATTTATAATTTTAGTATGCTGTTGAACCACCAAGCGGCCAATTAAATATTGCATTGCCCAAAACTTATGAATTTATTCACAATCTCATTCCTGAGCTAACATCCTACTTCACTGATAAATATTATCATGCTGGTGGAGACGAAGTAAACATAAATTGTTGGAATACCACACCATCAATCATTGAATATTTATCTCAAAATCCGAATTCCTCCGTTGAAACACTTCTCGCCAAATTCATTAACGAAACTCACGAAATTGTTCGTAAATCAAAAAAGACACCAATAACGTGGCAAGAAATGATCGTTAATCATAATCTGCCTTTGATGAAGGATATTGTTGTTCAAGTTTGGACTACCAAAGACATAGTTAAGGAAGTTGTGAGTAAAGGATATAGAGTCATTGTAGGGAGCAGTGATTTTTGGTATTTGGACTGCGGACATGGTGCATGGGTTGGAAATGATATTAATGGTACTAGTTGGTATGTTTAAGATCCATTTTTCTATATACTTTTATGAGTTCAACATTTGCCAAAACATAATAAAAAAGCAGTCCAGGCCTTTATATTATGGGCGAATGATGCCATTCTTTCGGAGTTACAGGTACAAATCTAAATTGTTAATTTCGTTTATAGGTGTGATCCATATAAAACTTGGCAAAAAATATATTCTTATAATCCATTTGATGGATTAACCGACGAAGAAGCTAAATTGGTTATAGGAGGTAATAATAGTTTATTATTTTTGAATGTAACATTTGAAATATTTATTCGACGTTTTTGTCTTATATTAACTGATCTTTTCGAAATTTTAGGCGAGATCCTATTATGGACAGAACAAGCTGATCCAACAAACTTAGAAAATTTCTTGTGGCCGCGTTCATCCGCAGCTGCCGAAATTTTGTGGTCTGGACCTTACGACACTTCCAAAAAAATTCGAACTCCGGATAAAGACGTATTAGCGCGGTTAACAGATTGGAGATTTAGAATGGTCGATAGGGATGTAAAAGCAATCCCACTACAACCTTTGTGGTGCGCTCGCACAGGAATGTGCGATATGCCCTAATGAATGATTATTTATTGTTACAAAATTAATATGTATATGAAGGTTTAAGTATGGTAGAGAATTGCGTAAGCATGTCTGGGACAGTATATGAAAAGTGAAATTTGTAGCTTTGTATATTATGCTTTGGTTTTTTTTTTGCAGATTAACAATTGTAATGCATTTTTTGATTTGTAGAATTATACTATTTTTAGTATAATTCATATACTGTATTTTAATTCTGTAGATTAGTTAAATTATTTAATAATTCAAGAAAAGACATGATTGAACCTTTGGTAATAAACATGCAATACTTTGGCTGATGGGTCTATATATCAATTTTAAAAAAATCAAAAATTTAAAAATTTAAACCATCGTATCTTGACAACTATCCAAGAAAATTTGATAAGTTTTTCATTTTAATTCTAGAAATCACTGGAGTTAAAAGAAAAAAAATTCATCGAATTTGTTTTGGTGGTTGTCGAGAGATAATTTGTTCAAAGTTTTATAAAAATTTAAAACGTCTACATATAATTACAGTAATAAACACTTTGAACGAAGATATATCGATCTTTATTTTAATTCTGGAGATTTCTAGAATTAAAAGGAAAAAAGTTCATCGAATTTGTTTGAGCGGTTGTCAAGATATCTTTTTCAAAGCTCTATAAAGATTTAAAACGTCTATATCTTATCATGGGTTTGCACTGCAAGTTGTATTCATTAAATAGAAATACTAAATAAATATTTACTTAAAATTTTAATTATAAATAATTAAATTTTATACTATTAAGCACTTAATTTTTTAATACTTTATATATATTTTAAATAAATACTTGTAATTATATTTCAATACGATTTGTATTCAATGAGTATAAAGAAGTACTTTTTAATTAATTATTAAGTACTTGATAAGTACTTTAATAAATTTCATGATGAATTACAGTAGTAAACACTCGTACAACAACTTTGAACGAGGATATCTCGACAACTATCCAAGCAAATTCGATGAGCTTTTTTTATTTAATTCTAAGATCTCCGGAATTAAAAAAGTTAATCGAATTTACTTAGGTGGTTGTCGAGATACCTTTGTTTAAATTTCTATAAAAATTTAAAACGCCTATAAATAATTTATATAATTACAGTAATAATACTTGTACAATAACTTTGAACGAAAATATCTTGACAACCATCAAGTTAGGGTTGTTAATTTACATGTAAATTTACTGTATGTAAATTTATTGTAACTGACGTAAATTCCTTGTAAGTTATGTAAGTTATGTATGAGATTCAATACTGTAATACTGTAATAAAAAAAAAAACAGAAATTACGTATAAATGACGTAAATTACACTTAATGCCAGTAGAAATTATCACATGATTCGGCCGGCTTTAGTACATAAATTGTAACTTACATATGGGCCATGTAAGTTACAGTAAATTACGGCGTAACATGTAAATTCGATGAACTTTTTTTTTTATTTTAACTCTAGAGTTCAAAAAAAAAGCTCATCGAATTTGCCTGGGTGATTGTCGAAGTATCGTCATTCAGTTATTGTTCAAGTGTTGCTACTGCCATTATGGGCGTTTTAAATTTTATAGAAATTTGAACGAATATATCTCAACAACTACCGAAGCAAATTTGTTAATGTTTTTTTTCTCTTTAATTCTAGAGATTTTTAGAATTAAAATAAAAAAAAGTTCATTGAATTTGCTTGGATGGTTGTCGATATATCTTCATTCAAGTTATTGTACAAGTGTAATTATACAAAATTTTATAAAAGGATATCTCGACAACCACCAAAGCAAATTCGACGAACTTTTATTTTCTTTTAATTCTAGTGTCTCTAGAATTAAAATAAAAAAGCTCATCGAATTTTCTGGATAGCTGTCAATATACGATGATTTAAACTTTTAAAAATTTGATTTTTTTTAAAATTATACGAAAAAATCGGCCAATGGCTAATACTTGTTGGCCAAACCCCAAAATAATTGTTAGTTATAAAAAACAAATAATCTTATAAATATATTGTCTATAGCTATAAGAATATATATAATTTATTTAAACAAAAATTATTAATAAAATTTTTAAGCTATGAATTTGGCCAGACTCGTTGGGTTTGTTCACTTTAAGTTTATTTAAAATGGAGGTCTGGCCAAACTCAGCTCAAAAATTTTATTAATAATCTTTGTTTAAATAAATAAATCATATATATTCTTATAGTTATAGATAATATGGGCTGCCGTCAATAGAAATCAGGCAGATTGACATTTTAAAAAAAATCTATACCTCAACTTTCACAGCTCATA